TTCTCCTGAGATAAACACCTGGTTGGTATCTGCATAAATAGTTCAAAAGAGGGATTGAATTTACCGACTTCAGAGGTCCCTACACTTCCAGTTAGTGAAGAAAATGAAATCAGTGGCTAAAATCCAAGCATCAGTTGAGTCCAGGAATGTATCTACGAAAAACACAATTCAAAGGTGTGTCCACTCCGTGGTCTGGATGTTTGTGTCCTCCCGGTTTCTATGTTGAAATCCCAAGACCCAACGTGATGGTGTGGGGTTGTGGGTCCTTTATGCACTGGGGGAACAGAGCCCTCCTGAAGGGTGAGCACCCATATAAAGAGACCTGACAGGCCCCTGGCGCTTCCTCCACATCAGGACACAGGGACAGGCTGGCACTCTGCAGCCTGGGGAGGGTGCTCAGCAGAACCCAGCCAACTGGCAGCACAGGCTTGGGTGTCCAGTGTCCAGAATGGCAAGGAATGACCTTCCATTGTCCTTAAGCCACTCCGGCTATGGTACTGTGCTGCAGCAGCCCAAGGAGCCTAGGGCAGTGAGTGTCAGAGCACTCTGCTCCTCCATCTGGGCGTCTCCTCCCACTCACTCAGCAGGAGCGCCCTGAGCTCACAGCCACACTGGTGCTGCTCCTGCGACCATCCACGCATTTGGACCCTCGGCCAACTTCTTTACAGAATCCACGGTAAGAGTCGGGCTATTTCTGGAGAAGAAAGCAGCAGTTCTGATCTGGTTTCCTACTTGGAGGATGCGGTTGTGAGACTGAGACCACATGAGGATGAAGATGCTCAGAGGGTTTGGAAGAAAACAGAGGAAGACAGACAGCTCTCAGCAGTAGTCAGCCTGAGATATACTGCAGCCAGGGGGCAGAAGTCAGTAAACCATGAGAGTTCAATAGTGCCCCCCCCCCCGCCCCGGCTAAAGGCAGATGCTCTGAGTCTGGCTTTTTGTGTTGGTTGTGCTGTTTTCTGGCTGTGTGGGCTTGGGCAGGTTACTTAACCCGTCTGTGTCTGTTTCCTCATCTTTAAATCAAAGTGAATAAATCAAAGTGCACCTTCAGTACGGGTGTGAAGATTTAACTGAGCTGATGTGAGTAGCTCAGAACAGGCTGGGCAGAGTAAAACGCTCAGGAAGTGCTGCCTGTCATAATTTTATTTCTGAACTCTAGATCTGTAGAACAGGTTGTGTTAATATTTACTTGCAGAGATAAACGAGGTAGGTTGTGATGCCTTTGGTCGCCCACAGGGCCTTGGTCCAGGATGCAGAAACAGTGCATCATGACTCTTGGTTCTCAGCATGGGTGACCTCTCATTGGTCCACACTGGTCGAGACTTGTGAACTTTGGAACGTCTGCATCCTGAGGTACCGCGGGGATGGAAGCCGAGTCTCAATGCAAAGTGTGTGCTTATAGCCAAATCCTACGCACAGCCTGGGGGTAATTTTCTGACATGTTCTTAGCGCACCTTTGTTTCGACTGTGATATCACACAAGATCAGACACGGAATTTTCCACTGTGATCATCTCAGTGCTCAAAAGCTGTCGGGTTTTGGAGCATTGCTGATTTCAGAGTGAGAATCTCCACCTGCATGAGGCCTGCAGCCTGTCAGGGTCATGCTCAGGCGGCACCTGGCCTTTGGACCTCACACCGTATGGCACACCTGGGTAGCACAGTCAGATGCAGTCTCCGGAGGAGAGGCCCAGACCTCCACCTCGGGAGCCTGGCAGCGTCTCCCAGGCACGCAAAGCAGCTGCTCAGCTGGGAGGGGAAACCCTGACAGTCACTGAAGGAGGCGTTCATCTCGGAGTGTGTGGCTGGACCCACATGGCCGGTGCCTTAGCTGTGTGGTTGGTTGGTCCGTGATGGGTGTAAGCTTGTGCAGGCGGTCCACATCCTCAGCTGGAACCATGACAACAGCAGGCATCTGTGAGGTCAGCCAAGGAGCTGCCTGGGAAGGGGGCTCGCCCTTCATGAATACAGGGAGCTTGTGGGTCGTCCCTGTCAGTACCTTCCGGGTGGCCAGGAGAGGCTGGGCCGAGCTCCACTGTTGTTGTTAGACAGGGTCTCATTATGTGGTCCAAGCTGACCTTGAACACACACTGATCCTCCTGCCTCAGCCTCCAGATTGCTGAGATTACAGGTGTGCACCCCCACTCCTGTCTTGGGCCCGACTTTGAGGAGAGGGCAGAAGCCACATGCTGAGGCCATGCGCAGCTGGGGCATGTTGTCTCCATTCTCTGGGCCTCAGATGCTGTACAGGTCAACATCCGACAAGCATGGAACCACAGAGGAGCCCAAAGGCCAGCAGGGCCCTTTCTGCAAATGCCCTGCTGTTGTGTTGTCTTCGGAGTGAAGCCTTCCACCACGTGTCCATGTGCAGGATGGAGGGGTGGGGTAGGCGTGTGGTCACTCACCTTGGGGTTCTGTCCCTCGGGGTCTCCCTGAAACAGCTTAAGAACCAGTGGCCTAGAAAGGCTCTAAAGTCCCGTCCAGACCCAACATTGTGTGGTTCCAGTGGCTTTGGGGTCAAAGTGACCTGAAATCCAAGAAGCAATTAGGTTCTACAACAGCACTGTCCAAAAGAAATGGGCAAATTGTGTCAGTCATTGGAAGTTTTCCAATAACCATATTCTACATAAAAAATAATTGGAGAAAATTCATTTTAATAACATTTAGCTCAATATAGCCAATATATAAGCAGTTGAATGTGTAATCAGTGTAAAAATCACTGAGCTCTTTTACATTTGTATATGAAACTTGCAAAATCCAATGTGTGCTTGAACCTCAGGTGCCTCTCAGTTGCACAGGGTGAGTGGCCGCTGCTTCGGGCACTTGGACATGCATGGCCCCGAGCCTGGGGCTGTCCTGGGCAGGACCACAGTGGTCCCACACTGTGGACCAAGCATGTGGCCTGCCTCTGGTCCAGCCCACAGAGCCACAGTCCCACTCGTGCTGCTGTGACGAAATACCTGAGACTCGGTAACTTACTCGGAACAGACTTATTTCTCAGGGTTCCAGAGGCTGAGGAGTCTCAGGGAGGTGCAGGCCGTTCCCGTTTTCCCCTCTGGCCAGCGCCTGGTCTCTGCTTCTTCAGAGCATGCTCACACGGCAGAGGGGACAGGGATGGAAGGGAGGACCCCATTCCTCATCCCATCCACACGGTGGCAGCCATGCTTGGGGGCCCCCCTTAGCCGTTCCTTCCTTAGCCAGAGCTTGGTGTGGGACGGCTCCCGGCTCCTGGGCCTGGCCACAGTGACTCCACCCTGATGCTGTGACCTCATCACTGCCCTGCACTTTCCCATGCTCAGCTCGTCCCCACTTCTGGTTGACTGAATATCTTCTTTATCAGGAATTTAAGATTGCCATGTTTTCTCTAAGCCTTTCTCTGCCTAATGCTACAATCTCCAGAAATTTACCTTGACCTTGAAGATTACATTGAAGGTATCATTCGAAACGCTTCACTATTTGAACACACATAGGGAAGTAATTTAAATACCATGTTTGTTTGACATCATCCATCTTAATATCGTATGTCTTACATCTGGGCCTAAGTTGTCTTCATCTCTCGACAGGAATACACAGCCTGTTGCTTGACTTATGTGCAGGACCAAAGCTGTGACCCAGTGCGGCTGTTACAGCACCCAGACACGGTGAGGATGCTTCCTTGTTCTCTGGGACTAAAAGTGCATGGAGACTGCTGGTTATTGGTATGCAGATGAGGTTGCTGGCCACTGGCTGAATGCACTGCAAACTTAGAGCCACAGGCAGTAAGTATTTCAGGCATTTTCACTGCCTACACCAGACTCAGAAACAGAGGCCAAATCACCTCTTCTGGTCCAGAGGGAGCTGAGAAGTGCCTGGAAAGCAATGCCTCTAGGTAGTGATGTTTTTCTACCACTCTATAATCTGCACATAAGATTTACACATAGAGATGCCTAATTGAAAAAAGAATCACGCCTGTGTATATACCCAGGGTCTGGCAATCACCCATTTTTAGGGTTTTATAACTGATGAGCACTTTTACCATCTTTCTCAATTTTTCAGCCTGGATGATTTAGATTCTTAGTTAACTGAATTATAAGAATTCAGAGCTTGAAACTATTATAAAATACTTGTCTCATTAGAGGAGTTACACTTCTTGGGGTTGTGTCCCCTTGAAGACTTTGAAGCACACTTCTGGAGTTGTGCACATCCCTGCCTTGGGGGCAGAGCCTGGTGGCAGTAGCAATGCATGAATCATAGATAGACCTTGAGGTGCATGAGAGGACACAGGAAAATGACCCTTTTCTGAACGCCTTTGAGCCACGGGGAGTCTGTATTTCCCACCATCACTTGCACAAGTATTCTTCTTTGTCTTCTGAGCTGGGGTCTCGCTGTCTTACAGGTATACAAATGAGCACGATCCTCAGCAGCCACAACAGTCAGAACCAGGACCTAGAATTCTTCAGTCTTGGGTGTGCACGTCTTCCCCACAGTTGTGCTTAGGAAGAGGCCTCAAGCCTCTCAGTCCCAAACCATCTGCGCTGGCCTCTGGGAAGCTCTCTTCTGCTTTCTTTGGAGATCACCCGGGACCCACCTCAGAGGCGGAAGGACAGAGACCTGGGGTGGCTCCCAGGTACCACCCAGGGGCAAGGGGCAGGGGGAGGGCCGCACCCCAAACCCTAGCTGTGCCGGATGCATGCGGGAACACAGGCATGCAGTGGCGGGGCTGTGTATGTGTGCGCACATGGATTTGTGCTCTCCAGGGTTTCTGGTAACATCTGAGCTGAGAACAGGTAGCCAGCGGTGGTTGGTGCCTTCTGACTTCGGATCACTTAGCGTGTTTCTCAGGCCTGGATCTAAGGTAAGCCTTCAGGTAAGGGAGAAGACCACGGGCAAATAGGCCACAGTGCTCAGAACACGTTACTCCTCTGTAATTATTTCGCTTTGGCCCTGATCCGGGCTCCAGGGAGCGGAGCGGGGCAGGACTGGCTGTTTCACCAAGAGTAGGAATCTTCAGGTGTAGACTCCAGGGGCGGCCAGGCTTTGCCACTCCTCCCAGTCGTCCAAGGCAGCCTCCTTGCAGATTCCAGAGGTTCCTGGGACCCCGGGCGGCTGGGGCTACCTCCTGCTCTTCCGCGACCCCTCTGCTGGCCACAGCTGGGAGTCGCGCGAGAGAGGCGGTGTCGCCTGCCCAGGTGCCTCCACCCGGTCCAGCGTGGCTCTGACCTAGGTTCCGGCTCCTTTCCGCCCGCGGGGGCCAATCCGAGGGAGAGGAGGGGCCGGGTGGAGGGGTCCAGGCGCTGGGGCTCCGACCCCCCCGCCCCCCGCGCAGCCTCCTCCGAGCAGCCTGGGGCGGGGCGGCTGCTCCTGTGGGGAGCACCCGGGCAGCCCGAGAGCCGCGACTTCTGCGGGCGCCCGCGGTTCCCTAGGGACCCGGACCGAGCGGGGCCGCGGTTCGCCTTGGAAAACCAGCCCTGCGCTTCGCATCTTCTGCCTGGGTCCCGAGTGAGGGGGGCCCGTGGGGTTTCCGCGGTGGCCCGAGGTGGGCGGCGGAGGCTGCGCAGTGTCCCTGGGTGCGGAACTCCGCGGTTGCCAGGTATCCGCGGGATGCGGGTGTCCGCGGGTGCGGGATCTCGGAGGCCCGGCTACAGAAGGGCACCGGCTTCACCTCGGGCGAGCGCAGCCCCGGGCTCGGGCCGGGAAGGGTTAACGGGCGGCCGGCCTGGCTTCCCGGGAAATAGAGAGCAGCTGCCCGCCAGCCGGCCGGACTTCTCAAGGGTTTGATTGGCTGCCAATGACATCACCGCCAGAGTCTCAGCATCGAGGCCCCAGGCCCCGGCCGACAGACCCGCCCAAACGCCGCGCGGCCACGCCCCCAGACACGCCCCCGACCGCACATTGGCTGCTGGTCTCGATGAGGTGGCGGTCCGCCTTCTCTGGCTTCTGATTGGCTTAACTCGCCGTCGGTTGGCGGCCGGCCCGCCCCCTCGGAATCATACATTTACAGTGTAGCAAAAGAGAAAGTAACTATGTTGCTGCTGGAGATCAATGAAACCCGGTGAATGGGCTGCCCGCGCGAGTCCACAGCAGAGGCGCAGCGCCCGGCAGTGCAAGGCTGGTCGGTCGAGGAAGTAAGTGGAAGTCCCTCGACCACTCAGGGGCGGTGTGTGCGCGCGCGTGTGTGCGCGCGTGTGTGAGTGTGCGCGCGTGTGTGTGCGTGTGTGTGCGCACGGGAGGCGGAGAGGGGGAACGGTGGACGCAGGACCGCGGGTGCTGCCCGGGCCCTGCGCGCCCACGCCGCGGGCCCCTTGCCCTGGCCGGAGGGAGCCAGGTTTGTTGGGATGCTTTGCGGCAGTTTCGCCGCCGGCGTGTGAGCGCCCTGCGCGGCGAGGACCGGGCGGTGGGTGCCGCGAGCAAGGAAGGCGTTCTCCAAGCGCCGTCTCCTCCGGGCCCTGCGCCGGCGAGCCGGGTCCTCGTCCCGGGGCTGCCAGGCCGGGCCGGCGGTTCGGGGCGCCGCGCACACCGCTTCTCTGCTGCAGGGACGCAGCCCACCGGGAGCGCTGGCCCAGGCGAGGGTCCTTAGCGTCGGTGAGCGGGCCCGCGTGTGCGCACTGGCGGAGGGCAGCGGGCTGGTCCTGGACGTCCGCCTCGGTACCACCAAGGCAGGCTTCTGCCCCCCAGTCCAGCTGGGAAACAGTTGCAGCAGCGGGAATAGTACTCGCTCTCCAAAAAATACTACGCAAGGGGGTGGGGAGTGAGGGCGGGAGGCTGGGTCTTCGTTCCCATCCAGGGATGCGGGGAGAAGCCCGAGTCTGTGGGGACCTGTGCCTGGCTGTGCGTGCGTGTGTGGACTCCGCCTGTGACACTTTGGCTGGATGTCAGAGAGCGGTGTCGGCCGAGTGTAGACAGATGATAGATGATATTTTTCCAGACAGCTCTTAAAGTTCGCTTAGGTGAGCCGCTGTTGCATGGGTTTGGTTTCACGGCTGTGTGCATCTGTTAGAGAGGAGCCAGCAGAGCCGTGGAAGCCTCTAGTGCCCACAAGGAGCGGGGAGCGAGGGACTGCCCCTTCCCTTCGCAGGCTCCCGGGAGCAGACCGCAGGTGGACCTCTGTAAGGACCCCAGCTCCCTCCCGCAGGGCACGGCAGTGCGGCTGCTCCAGCCCGGACGCAGCCTGTGCAGGACATTCGAGGGCAGGGAGGCCAGGCCATCGGTCCTGTCCTCAGAGGCCAGGTGAGCGCCGGCAGGGGATCGGTGGGTGATGGAACTCAGGATGGGATTTCCAGACCTGGCTCCTCGGCCGGCCATCGTGACTTCATTTTAGCATACCAGTTGGTAGTGCAAAGGGGAAATGTAGGTTAGTTTATAAGAGGCCAAGAAGGGACATGAGGTCCGAGTGTGACTGCTGTGGTCTCCAGAGGACCTACTAGGATGGGGAGCAAGAGTAGCTCCTACTTAAGTTGATTCTCTCAAGAGGTGCCTTCACTCTGACCGGTAGAAAGTTGACATCCACCCTGAGGTATATTTAGCGGCTGAGTACTTCTGTGTGCCAGGCCAGTGTTCTTGGTTGGCTCTGAATTGCAGTGGGTTAAGGAATTAAATAGCAAGCACCCGAGGGTACACAATCGGGCTTCCTCCGTGGAGAGTCCTTCTGCCTGGGAGATGTGGCCCAGAATAGATCCTCTGAACAACTCCCTTCTGTCTGCAGCTTTCTGATTCTCTGAACCCTCACTTTCCGGAGGCTGAACTTTGATGCTGCCCATGAAAGTTTGTTCATTAACATTTGCAACATGAAGTCCAACGTCAGGGTAGACTTAGTGGCCAGATACACAGGGCCCCAGTCCGCATCCTGTTGAATCCATCAGAACGGGTGTCAGGCTTTGGTAGCTGTGACAAAGGGCAATTTGCACTTCGCCCAGAGATAGGCAAAGGCTCCCCCCAGAGAATGGATGAGACTGCCTTTTGTGCCACATGGTGACTTTATTCTTTCTTTTCCCCTTCCCCTTCTTTGCAGACTCTTGAGTTCTTCTTGAATTACCAGTGTTCAGCCTCTTCATGCCTCCGTCTCCTCTAGATGACAGGGTAGTAGTAGCACTGTCTAGGCCCGTCCGACCTCAAGATCTCAGCCTTTGTTTAGACTCTAGCTACCTTGGCTCTGCCACCCCCGGCAGTAGCAGCCATCCTTCTGTCATTGCCACCACTGTTGTGTCCCTCAAGGCTGCGAATCTGACATATATGCCCTCATCCAGCGGCTCTGCCCGCTCCCTGAATTGTGGATGCAGCAGTGCCAGTTGCTGCACTGTGGCAGCCTACGACAAGGACAGTCAGGCCCAGACCCAAGCCATTGCTGCCGGCACTGCCGCCACTGCCATCGGAACCTCTGCCGCCAGCCCTGCCAACCAGATGGTCAACAACAATGAGAACACAGGCTCTCTAGGTCCATCGGGTGAAGTGGGCAGCCCTGTGACAGGGGTCCCCAAGCAGCTCACCAGCATCAAAATCATCTACCCCAACGACTTGGCCAAGAGGATGACCAAGGGCAGCAAGAGCCACCTGCCCAGCCAGAGCCCTGTCATCATCGACTGCAGGCCCTTCATGGAGTACAACAAGAGCCACATCCAAGGAGCTGTCCACATCAACTGTGCCGACAAGATCAGCCGGCGGAGGCTGCAGCAGGGCAAGATCACTGTCCTGGACTTGATTTCCTGCAGGGAAGGCAAGGACTCTTTCAAGAGGATCTTTTCCAAAGAAATCATAGTTTACGATGAGAACACCAATGAGCCAAGCCGCGTGATGCCCTCACAGCCTCTTCATATAGTCCTCGAGTCCCTGAAGAGAGAAGGCAAAGATCCTCTGGTGCTGAAAGGTAAGGATCCTGCTCCCCTCCCACCACATCCTTCTTCTTGCCGGAATCCCCCCAGACCAAGATAGACTTTCTGCCCACCTTCTCCGTGCCCATTCTTTAGGGTTTGGCTATTGTGAGAAAAATGCAGCAGCCTCGGGCTGCTGGCTGGAAGATCTGAGTGAGTCCTTGCCTGGACTGGCTTCTGATGCATGGCTAGGGCAGGCCACGTCACCTCTCAGAGATGGTGCTCACCTCGAACCAGGGCCGATGGGAAGTGAAGCGTGGCTGGGAGCTGGGTGAGACTCATTGCCTGTTAGACCCAGTGCTGTGGATGGAGCAGAGGAACAGAGTAGTGCTGAGCTGGAGAGGACTGTTCTTTGGGAGGAAACCTCCTCTTTCTCCCTCTCTGGCCAGCTTGGCTTTGGATGGTTGCTAAAGTGACCTTTGAGAAGGGCAGAGATCTGTATGAAGGCCCCAGTGAAGAGGAAAAGTTCACCCCTGCAGCCATCACTCTGCCCCATCCCCAGGGGGACAGAGGCAGTTTAGTGACCTTCTCCCTGGCCTGCGGTGGTTTTGGGCCTCACTTGATGTCAGCTGGCATCGTGGCTTTTCCCAAGAAGGCGTGGTGGGTGGCTTTCCCTGTCCATGGAATGTGGAATGACTGTGGTCAAAGGAGCTGCACCTGGAGGAGGAATTCAGGACCCTCCTCTGGGTGCCTGGTAGCAGGGCTGCCTGGGCTGGCAGGGGGGGTCCCGTGCCTGGCCCGCCTGTCCTCGTCACCCCTCGTGTCCTGACCCTGTGCCCTTCTCCTCTGGGCATCTTCTGCCTGGTGGCGGTAGCAAGACAGTCATCTTCCTCCCTTTCTCCTCCTTTGTGTTTTGACCAAGGTGACGGTGGTTTCTGGGGCCCAGCTCAGCCAGCTCCCAGACGTGTTGAGCCCCGGTGTTGCTGGTTGCCCCCTCACCGTGTGTGTTTAAATTGCCACCATCCGCTTAGGTGAGCCCAGTAGTTTGTCTTTGTCTTTGGGGAGCCCCTCTGCCATTGCCTCCTGGGTGACGCCTCCTGCCTTCTCTCATGCAGTGGCCTTGGGGGTTCGATCCTAGGTCCCTTTGCTGTCACTCCCCTCCCCACTCTCCACTCCTGTCCTCAGGCATGCTCCTTGGGCCCCACTGTCACAAAGACTTGGCTTTCCCTGCGAAGGGGTCTTCGGTGAAGGAGAACATCTCACAACTGTATGCAGAGAGATCCGGAAGTCGGGCAGTGTTGGGTGATGGTAGAATGTTTTCTTGGAGTCTCACACAGGTTCAGGATCCTCCACAAGCTCTGTATTCCATTTCTGTTTTCGAGTGTGGTTGGCTCCTAGTATTTCCTAGTGGGCTCCCCCTGCCCTTGTTCTTGCGTGGTAATCTTGGCTGGGCTTGTGTATCTCAGATGAGAAAATACTGTCCACAGAGTTCCACTTGTGACAGTTTGCCTCGGGAAACAATGACAAACAGTCTTGCTGGTCTCATTTCTCCCGTAGAGTCGATATTCTTGATGAAAAGCAGGCTTCTTGTGTCTCCATAGTCTGAAAGGCATCAAGCAGTACACATTCAGATGACCCTGAACTTGGGTGTGGGTGATTAGGAGGAGGTAGATCCTGACTCTGCTGTGCTGTGGGCCTGTCAGGTGGTGAGCAGAGAGTGTCTTGGGGCCACTGAGAAGGTGAGGTTCCTCTCACTCTGCTCTGGGTGCAGCTGGGTGCCAGGCAGCCGGCTGCCCCGTGCCTGGGTAAGATTGCCTTGTGGGGCGGGGCGGACTGCACTGACCTCACCACGCGCAGCCGCAGGGAGCACTGGGTGTTTTCGGGCTGCTGAGCCTCGGCTGCGATGGTCAATTTGCAAGACGCTCTGGTAATAGGGGTTGGGTTATTTGTAATTTGGGGGGCCTTTTCTTCAAATATCTGGGGATCTGGTGGAAAATACATAGTTCAGGAGCAAAAGGGTCTCATTCTGTGGGTTGTTCTCATCGCTCATGTGGCATTGATGGCAGAGTGCAAAGGGAAGCAGGCCTGGGTGGTTAGCAGAGCGCCTCGCTGCGCTTTCTCCCGGGTGAGCCTGCGGCTAATTCCAGGCAGCACTGAGGCAAGGGTAGGTTGGGCTTCCCTCAAGGGCTCGGTCAGCAACTTCTCCCGGGGCTCGAGTGGGTCCGACAGACCACGCTGCTCTGGCTTTTCCTGTGAGGTTTATTTTAGGAGCCCTGTCCCTTGGTGATCTGAGATTGCATTTCAGCAGGGGTGGTAGTGGTGTCATTGGGGCTGCGTGTCTTTGGCAGGGCAGTTGCGTGGCTGGGCTGGGGTGGTTGGGTGATGAGGGAGACACATGCAAGGCCTTGTGCGTTTATTTCGGGGATTTCAGTGCAGTCTCGGGTAATCTATGACTGCCCCGGACGAGTCCCTGGCCGTGTTTGTAAACACTGGTTGCTACCCTTGCCACCCAAGCGCTCCTCCGGCCCCATCCGTGCCAGGCTGTCCGCTGTGTTGCTGCCCGTCAAGCGCGGCTGCTGGTTGCCGTTTTGGTGATGCTGGGTCAGGTCGGGAAGAGGTGCTGAGCACAGAAGCCCCTGGGATTACGTCCCTGCTCTAATTTACAGCCCCCTCCCCTCGTGACCCAGGCTGGACCCGGCTTAGTCTCATCTTCCGAAGAGTAAGTGGCGTTGAGCCCCAGCTTCTGCTCAACCTGACGAAAATGACCAAGATGAATACTCAAGGCTTCTCGACATCTGTGAAGGATTACAGTCGGCTTCACTGAAAGCTGATTTTTAATCAGCTGTTACTTGGTTTCTGGCCACAATGCATAAGACGGCAGGCAACCCTTGACCTTTCCTAACCAAAGCACCACGCTTGCTGTGGTCCCCGGAGGACCCCTTTGTTCCTAACAAAGCTAGGTTCAGGGAAAGAATTTATCTGTCTTTTACCTGGATAGGGAGACTCTACTGCTGCCTCCTTTCTAAACACAATATATGCCTTTAAAACTTTTATCATAAAAAATGTTGTTTAGAGAAGTAGAAAAGTATAGAATGAATATCCTTGTCCCTGTCAACCAATAATGGTTGAGTTTCCCTGTTTGCTTTCTCTTTTCTCTTTGTTGAAATTTTGTATGGTACAGACAACATTCAGATATGGTTAAGTATGTTGGCTAAGACTTAATATTTTAAACTTAGTAATGCTGGGAATATTTTATAGGGTAGTCGGATGTGTTTGCTGCCAGCTACCTCAGTGTCATGTTCCTGTCTGAGTGTTTTTCAAAGACAGGGTCCCAGGCATCAGAAGAAGCTGCCCACAGAGGGGAGTGAGGTCGCTGGGCACCTTAGGGTGCGTCCTGGCTCCCGTGTATGTCTGAGAGCCCTGGCCTTGCTGCCATGTGCTGCCATGGAACACTGACTGGCTGAGCTCCGATCTGTGATGCTACTGGGAGTTACTTTCCTACTTCCAAACATCCCATGCACCCTCTGAGAGGGCGGCAACCTCAACTGCATGTTTTCCCTGCTCACAAAGGGTTCCGAAATAGACGCATGCAGGTGGTGGCCATGAGATGGTGCTGGGAATGACCACGCTCAGAAATCAGAGGCCCTGGGAAAACAGTTTTTTCTCTGCTTTGTTTGGGAGGAGGTGTGAATAAAAATCACCCCTCCCCCCCCACAGGACGTCAAGAGGATTTTTAATTGAAAAAATTAATTTTTAATATAGCTCTTGTATGAAATAAAATCCATATCTATGTTCACAAGCTTAACTGTCAATATTCTCAGCCCCTGACTCACGCCCAAGGCTGGATGCCAAACATTGGCTTTGCAGCAAAAAGGGGAGAAGTTGAGGCCGAACTTCAGACTCACTGTGTCCAGTGGTGGCGTGGCCCTAGGGCAGGGCGCTTAAGCCCTGCAGTCCTTGCTTTCCTCCCTCACAGGAGGTGACGCCGTTGCTACTCACTCTCTCCTAGTGGCGGTTCAGGAGCTAAGCGCAGTAATGTGTTTCCAGTGTTCAGCGTAGCACCTCGTACCAACAACCACTTTGTAAAGGCGGCTCGCTGTTATTATTACTATTGATCGAACAGAAATACGGTGCCAGTAAAAATGTAATCTTGCCTCTTCTTACAAAGGAGCACAAATAACAAGCTACGTCTAGCAGTGCGTACTTGGGGTGTGTGTGTGTGTGTGTGTGTGTGTTGCTATGGCCTAAAAATAACTTGGTGACTGTGACCTAATTTAAGTAGATACAGTTGGAGTGCCAAGTAATTGCAAAAACATGTTGAGTCAAGAGGCTAGAGTAATTTGGACCTATCTTAGAATTATTTGTAGGGTAATTTCTAAAAACGTGATGATAAGTCTGTCCAGCTAATGTCCTGTCCTAAGTAATGAAAGTACAAAACTTTTGAGCTTTGCTTTTCCTGGTGTCTCCTCAGGCGGACTTATTTTTGGAAGGAGGGTTGTAGTCTGACTATAAAAGGGTAGGTGGGGGCGGGGTCCTGGACCAGGGGCTGGCTGCTGCCCTGTCCCTCAGTCCGCCCCAGAGCCTGGCCCTCAAGGGCACAGGGTGACCTGGGGTCCTGCTGCTCGGCAGGGTGGAGCTTGGTTCCTCACACCTGGCCACAGTCTGCCTCCCCAGGTACCCCTGTGTCCAGCAGCACAGAGGGGTCCAGGTGCCTGCCACGGTGGGGGTTCCAGCAGCACAGAGGAGTGAGGGGTGCATGTGGACAGGGCACGCAGCTCCGGGGCTGGGCTGCCACACCGGCTGCCGGCCACCCCACAGAACCTTTCACCTAGAGGAGGGCGGGGTCCAGGTGCCCCAGCCCAGGGCTGTGGGAATGGGTGGCAGCCGAGTTCACATCCTCCCAGGCCCATCCTCGAGGCCAGGGCCGGCAGACTGGTCAAGGTCAAGCTCAGGAAACCCAGGACGCTGGGGGAGGATGCGATGGATCGGGGAAAGCTAGGCAGGGGCGGAAACTCAGGGGGCAGAGCTGCTTGTCCAGTTCTGCTTAAAAACTCGCTTGCCAGAGAAGGGCGGGTGGGTACACATTCCCTACCTGTCCGCAGCAGAACTCTCCCTCCCGGCCTCTGCAGGTGCCTGGGGCTGGGTGGAGCCTTTGCTGCAGGGCCCTGACCAGGCAGCAGAGCCAGGCCCACCTCTTGGGATTTGAGAATCTACTCTCGGAGCTGCAGGGTCCCAGCCCTTAGGGTCTCAGCTCCCGAGGCTGCTCCTCCGGATCCCTGGGGGTGGCTTCAGACCTCAGGTGCTCAGTTCCTTCCCCTGAGTCTGGTCGAATTGGCCCAGGCTGCAGCCTGCGTTCAGATGGAGGTGTTGAAAGCTCCCTGGGTGATTCTAAGACGCAGCAGAATTGAAGAACCATGACCTAGTGGAGTCTCCTCATCCTACGGTCATGGAGATGAGACCGAGGTTGGTGACTTGTCCAGGATCACACGCACGATTGCCAGATTGATAGGTGGATCTATGGGTGTGTTATCGAGCAACAGTACCTAATATATAGCATAAAATATAAACTAATGTATTAAATTAATACTTTTGAGCAAAAATACCTTTTTTCTTTTTTAAATTCTGACATTTCAGACCAGAACCAAAGGTTCTAAGTCTAAGCACTTTGAACTGCTGGTTAGCAAGCAGTTCATGGTCTAGATTTTACCTGGCCCTAGAAATACAGCCAGATATTAACACTGATTTAATTCCATCTTCTGAGTAGCTTAATGGCTTAAGCAAGAGCTGAAAACACACATATCAAGATGCACTCCCGTATCTCAAGCTTCCACGACATTTGTGTAGTGGCCGTGTGTGGGCCAGCTAGGGGCAGAGGGTGCTGCTTGTCCTCGGCCCTTGCCAGGGGCCCGTAGCCCCGTATGCAGGGCTGGCAGGGTCCCCGGCCATGTGGGAGGGGTCCCCTCGGCCTCGCTCTGGTTTATGGGCCACTCACCTTCAGGGGGTGCCTTAGTTTACCTCTCTTGAAAAATAGCACACCTGTTTTAAGCACCCCGTGGGCCAGCAGAATTTCCCCCAGCCCCGATGTGAAAAGCAGGGGTCTGCTGGGTGCTCACGGCCTGAGCCTGAAAGCTGCTCTCCACTGGCCAAGCTCGCCTGGTGCGGCCCCCTCTGCAGAGCACAGTGGAGCTTGGTCGCTTGGACCAGAGGTTGTGGACGCGCCGCTGACAGGAACAAGGCCTGGGTTTGTTTTCCTACGCGCTCTGTGAAGAGAGGACGTGCTGGGCCTCTGAGCCCGGCAGACAGTTTCAGTGGCGAGGCTTTGCCTGCTTTCCAGAGACCGTGCCAGCCGCGCCCTGGTGGCGGCTGGGGTGCGGCCCTGAGCGCCGAGAGTCCCGTACCCTGCTGCTCCCTGAGCCCTGTGGCTCCCGCTCAGGCAGATTCTCTGGTGATGCTTTCCTACACCATAATCCGATGGATTCAAAGAGACGGAGAAAACACTGAGGCTGTTACTGTGAGACATTTGGAATGCACGGTTTCGTATTCATCTCGATGGGATTTCCCAGCTATGAAGTCTTTGACTCTTCAGTGTTTTTATCCACACC